AAAAGAGCAATATTGATTCAAAGAATAATAGTAAATACCTAATAATAACCTAATAGTTGGTTATTAATAATATCAATCAACCTTATTACACAATACACCTTAAATGAGAAAATGTAAACAACAACAAACGCTGTACAGTGAGTGTGAGATATGCGTCTGCTACTAGTGTCGGCCGTCTGCACGCGACTAAATCCCGCAACTAAAACTAAATCCCGTTTTCGGGATAAAAAAGCCAAGTAGGGAAAAATTGTCTACTACTAGAGAGAACAGCAAATTGTACATGATTGTGACCTGCGCAGACGCGCGAGTGGAGAGAGATTGCTAAACCACGCCCACGAACCGAACGAACGCGAGCCGATATTTTACCAATATGGCGAAAATTGAAAATTGCAGATCGCTAAAAATATGGTTGATGATGAAAATTGGCTGAAATTAATTACCACAGGACTTTAGACAATGAATCCGGCTCGAAGGACCAAATGTTGGGGGCGTAATGGGTGAAAATGAAAATAATTAATAACTCGAAGGACCAGAACTAATTAATAGTTCAAGAGAAAAATAATTAAATTAGAGAAAATGGCGAATCTGCAATTTGAAGGGCACTGAGGTCCCGAGATGGAATAAAATGTCTTGTGCGGGGCAAATGAGATTAGTTTTAGAGTCTAATTAAAACACACACAAAACTTTAAGGTTGTACCTTGAGTCCAATTATCCAAAGGTGGAGAGTATGGCAGCGGCGTCGTCTATGGTGGAGCGATGGCGGATGGCGGAGTCCTTAGACCGAGTGCTTCTGTTTTGTAGAATTTTGGAGAACGCAACGCACCCTAGTTCATAATCACAAAGAGCTCACTAATACGCGGAAGTCGCGGTGAAAACGTACGGAAAGTCTAGAAGTAATACACGGACGCGCACACACTGTCTTGAGGTTTGAAGAGTCTGAAAGCACTAGATCACAATTTAAGTAATTTAATCACAAACAAAAGGGGGAAATTAAAATGTATATATAGTTAAATGTACTATAGAGGAGAGGGAGGCCAGATATAATTAATCTATAGCCTAAAAATACGTTTAAGAGAGGTAAAATGGGCAATTAATGTCCCGAGATACGAGAAACGGAATACACCGTGAGTTATGGACGCCGACCGTGGACAGACAGACGCCGATCGCCGGCTTCACACTTTGAAAAATGCAATTGCGGTTTAGAGGGGTCTAGGAATTCGATGGCCAATAGGAAATGCGATTGAAGCAAACACGGCGTCAGGTGATTCATGGGTATGTAGTACAGGAAAATAGGCCTTACTGTGGCGGGAAATTCGAGCAGGCTTAGCAATCTCATTTGAATATTGAAAGCGGGAGTCTATTTACAATAAATTGTTACTGAGACTAAATAATATTACAATAAATGTGGTGATTTATATACACATTAGCATGATTAATTAACCAGTGACTTAATTAACATAATGATTAATTTCTAAATACTCTAAAAATATGAATACCGAACAGGTATAGTGGGAGTTTTAAAGGTTTAATCCTTTGTAAAAAAAAACATTTTATTTTATATATGCTATAGTGTATAATAAATGTAAAACAAACAGATATTAAAAACAGCTGAAAGAGGGCTTAAGTTTACTATAGAGTATAAAAATGGCCTTTGTAAAGGCTATTAAATATCATATGTTAAACTTACATCTAATCTATGCTAAATTAGTTATTTTAGGTTGTTTTTTGTATAGTGAGAGGTTCATAGGTTTGATTTTTAGCGGGTTATATGAATTTATTTATGTAACCACAAGTGAAACAGGTCTATTATACTAGAGTACTAGTGTTGATGGTATAATTATAGTAATAAATGTATAAATATAAGATTTACTATGTATTACTTGTACTATATGTACATCTTGTATAAATGTTTTAGTCTAAGTTGTCAGAGCTTTCTTTTATGTAGCAGTGATTCTTATTATCTTGGTTGATTACGTGACCTCAAACCAATGCTCTGTTAATTAGTAACAACTGATTATATGACATTGGAGCGACCTCTACAGTGTAGTTTGAGAGATGGCATCAATGTTACAGCATCTATTATGGGTAAGTGTTAGAAGTAACTATTTATTAAAACTAATACTATTTTGAAATTTGTATTATAATACAAATGTATTAACAATACAGGGTTTTTGAGGATAAATAAAAACAGTAGATTTTACTCAGAGAAATATATATTCAGCCTATCGGCTATAAATTTTCTGCAAAAGGGGCATCTATACACTCTGTATGCGCAATTAGGGCACAATGTATGTCCACACGGTTGTAAAGCAACTGTGGGAGCATGTTCCAAGCAAATTTGACACGTTACCGAATTAATTGGGGGATTTGATGGTCGTGGGACTCGTTCTGATATCATAGTGTCTATTTGGTTGGTAGTCTGCCTCAATACACCTTCTAAAGTGTTACGGAGATCCTCCCATAGAGCGGATATAACTGCTGGCTGTAGTCCACATGCATAGGAATAACCTTCCAGTGTATTTCCAGCCAGGTTGGCTATGGAATGGGCACACGGGAGGGACTAAGGCTAAAGCTGGGTTTTCCTAGGCGCGGAGTCGGCCAGCAGAGAGCGGACAGCGGAGAGCGGAATTGAAATTAACATGGCATTCCGCTCCGCTTGTAGGAAAACAGTAACATTAAATTGCCTAAGACAAGCTGAGTCCGCTCTCCGCGTTCCTCTCTCCGCTGGCCGACTACGCGCCTAGGAAAACCCAGCTTAAAGGTGTAGTGACGTCATATCTTTAGTGGCTAATGTCTTCTCTTGAGGCGACACGATTACCGTAACGAAACGGTGTGATTGCAGCGGCGTTCGTGGCATAGTTGGTAGCGTTTCGGATTGGTGTTCAGGAGGTTCCGGGTTCGAATCCCGCTGGCAGCACTAACTTTTTGTCAACAATTTTTTCATATCAGCAAGTTTGGTTGGTTAGGTTAGGTTATGACAGTTTTTATAATACTAAGTTTTAAAATTAATTTTATAATTAATTAAAAATTGTAAGTAATCATTAATTAGATTTTTATCTTATATAGTTTTTATATTATCAGCAAGTCTGGTTGGTTAGGTTACACTATGACAGTTCAATTTTAAAAATTAAAAATTTATTTTATAAATTTAAAAGAATATTTTATAATTAAAAAGTTAATTTTATAACTAAAAAAAAAATTAATTTAAATTTTTTCAACTTAGCAGTTCTAGCGGCGAACGCTGACACTACAAGATATGTTAGCCTTAGTCCCTCCCGTGTGCCCCACCAGGTTGGCTATAGTTATTAGTTCATTCCGTAGTGTTCTATCAGCTGCTGCAGCGGGTAGGGTAAATTCCGGGTTATTCATAGACTGAAAGATATTACACAAGAATTCATGTTTTTATCTATTTATATAAAATAGTATAAACCATAAATTAGTTGGCTGGTAAAATTTTGTGTGGAAAGTTTAGTGTAAACATATTAATTTATTTATACTTAATTTCTCTTTAAAGGATACCTGAGTGAAAATTTAAAAACGTACGTTTTCAAGAAACACACTTTGCAAATTTTTTTCCCCTTTTTTCAAAACTTTTATTATTTTTTTGATTTCATTAACATTTGAAGTTTCATAAAATGTCCATGGTAACGCAATATCTTTGGTAGTTTTTTTTTAAAAGAGCATCTTTAGTGGAAAAACACAAAATCCTGTCACGACCATAACATACGTTTAAATGAATATTAAAAATAGTTAATATTATTTTTATAACTATGTTTTGCTATAAACTAATTTACTTTTATGACCATTATACATTAAAAAGGTCACTGAGCTTTTAGTATATTTGGTCTTTCTAGAAAAAAATAAAAAACTCAAAAAAATTGAAAAAAAGCCAATAATATCTTTTTAAGTTTGTATAACTCCGAAAAAACTTACCTGAGACCCGAAAAATCGTTATGTTTGCATAGAGGCGTGCTTCTTTTGTGTATAAAACATTGAAATATGACGATATTTTAATTTTTGAAATTTTTATGACAGAAATCATAAACGTGATGGTCAGGGACAAGCGGTACGGTCGTGAATTTTATAAAAAAATCTAAATCTTTCTAAACAATCCTTTAATTATACTATTAGTTATAATAAAAATATGTGTTTCAATTGAACTAAACTGTTCAAATTACAATTATATTAAAGTTATTGTCACGACCAAACACACTATAATCCATAAGGCTGGATAGGTCGTGAAAAAACCCGCGATGGTCGTGAAACTTTGGTCGTGAAATTACGTGTTATTTGGCTCTGTTCTGGCGGTAGCTCTGCACCTCATGTTCGAGGATACAAAGTGGACTTCTAGGTTAATCTAGCAATTGAAATATCTTATAAACAAAAATTAACACTATGTCTACTTCATCGAATGACTATGTACGGTCATGGACACACCAAAATTACAAAAAACACAACCTTTCCTGTATTAATCTTGTAATTCCTCCTTTCAACTCGAAACGATCGGCACTACAATCCTGACGTACACCCCGAACTAGTCTCTAAAACCAACTGACTCCATCAACGCCAGGCTTGCCACTGTCGTGCTCCAAAGTTGAAAAATTTTCCCAAATGGTCGTGACGCCAAATCGAGGGACAAACTTATTATGTCATGGTAGTCAGTTTGCAATGACAATAAAATTATAATATGCTCCTTTTTTGTAAGTTTAATAACCATTGATGACATAAAAATATGGCTTTATATATTGCTGCATGAATAATTAGTCTAAAAACAGCGTGAAAGTTGGAAAATGTACCCTAGGGACACGTCATGGTCGTGAATTTCGAGACTTTAAAAATACGAAAAAAATACCTAGAACCTATTTAAAACCAAATAAATGTGTGTAACATGTTGCCCCCATCCCAAAAAATATTAAAACACATAATAATAAACTACAAATCCAGTAGCTACGAAGTAAAAGGCCAGGGACATGAAAACGTACGTTTTTAAATTTTCACTCACCTACTCTTTGAAGCAATCTCCTGCGAAAGGTTTCAATGCGAGCATTCTGCCGACAGCCACGACATTCTTGTGTCTCAGGTATAGTTGAAGCAAGATTCTGAACCTATAAATAAATAAAAATAGAAACATATTAAGCCCGTAGGTAATATTATATTTGGACTATTCATTTGCTAGTTAATCTGTATCATATAAAACTAGGGTAGCTTTCTTTTCTAATTTAAAGTTTATTGTTGAAGGAATGAAAATAACTGAATAAACCTCTGTTATAAAAACATATACTACAGATTTATATAAACATTTGTAGATTTAATGATGTAGTGTTTAACTAATATTCTTTTTATAGATTTGTATAGGTGAAATATTTGTTTAAGTACTATATCAAGTCCCAATAAGTGGAAAATAATATGGTTTATAAACCAAGTATAGCCCACTGTTGGAATGTAAAACTTATTAGAACTAAAAATATATGTGTTGAAGTAACTTTGTGATTAGTTAACTAATTAATGCAACTCTATTTAAGTGTAACAGTTTATTAGATTAATAGCTATAAAGATTAATAAGTTTGATAAATGTGGTGTTTTTATTTTTTAAATCTTTAAAAAGAGATAAATAACAGAACAAATCTAATAGCTGTAAGTGTATCTCAACACTTTTATTTGTTGTATATATTAAGAAGTTTATCATTAGTAACTAAAGCAAGCTTAGGAAGCTAATATGTTTAGTAGAGTTAAAACCATTGAAGTAATTACCTAACTATATCAGCAAAAATAAAAAGTATGTTGAGTTGAATGATTTGATTTTGAGTTTGTTCTTACAGGCTATTAGTATTACACTTATATGTCTTGTAATGTTAAAATACTTATTACAGGTTGTATATGTTGGGGAGATTGTGATGGACTGGCTAATTCAGTAGTTGTTGCTGTCTGCTGCCTAGCAACATCAGCTGGAGTATTCACTGTTGAAGGTGTTTGGGATATAGCTGAAGTTGAAGGTATTGTAGGTCTAACGATATTAGCTATATCAGGAGATGGCTATTGAAAACAAAATAAGTATTAGTAATAGCCTAGGTAGTAATTACTTAATTACATCAGTAAAAATAAAAAGTATGTCGAGTTAATTGATTTGATTTTGTTAAAATATTATAATAATTTGTACTTGTTTATACAAGTATGTTTTATTAAACGGAACCTTATTGTTGAGCATAAAAGAATGTTAAATATGTAGTAGTAATGGATGTTATAATAAATGTGAAATAAACAGATGTTAAAAGAAGACTTAACTTTACCATTAAATGCTACTAAATATAGCAGGTTTGACTTGAAGGTGATTGATAATTATCTAACTACTTTGGTAATTATCTAACTACATTAGTAAAATAAAAAGTATGTTGAGTTGAATGATTTGATTTTGAGTTTGTTCTTACAGGCTATTAGTATTACACTTATATGTCTTGTAATGTTAAAATACTTACTATAGGGTTTACACGTCTAGAAGGTTGGGATGGACCGGCTAACTCATCAGCTGTTGGCCGCTGTCTAGCAACATCAGCTGGAGTATTCACTGTTGAAGGTGTTTGGGATATAGCTGAAGTTGAAGGTATTGTAGGTCTAATGATATTAGCTATATCAGGAGATGGCTATTGAAAATAAAATAAGTATTAGTAATAGCTTAGGTAGTAATTACCTAACTACATCAGTAAAAATAAAAAGTATGTCGAGTTAATTGAATTGATTTTGTTAAAATACTATAATAATTTGTACTTGTTTATGTGTTGTTATTCATATGTGTTTGAAAACATATGATGTTAGAATATTATTTGTTTAGTTTTTGTTAGTAAACATTCTGAATGGGGTTTATTGTAAAAGCTACCTAATAAAGTATTTGTCTTATTAAAACTATATTTTAATTTAACTTGCGATAACACTACATGGTGGCAGCGGGCTTTTTATTGTTTTAGCAATATACAGTACATGAAGATGAAAAGTTTTAGTGTTCCTACCCCAGAACATTTTGATTTTAAAGGAGAAAACTGGTCTAAATGGAAAACCCGTTTCTTGCGCTTTCATGCGGTATCTGGGCTCACCAATGAAGACGAACCATATCAGGTAAACACCTTACTATATATGATGGGCGAAAAGGCCGAAAGCATATTTGAATCATTTAATTTGACATCTGAGGAATGTAAAAGTTTCAAAACTGTTTTAAAAAAATTTGATACCTATTTCGCTCCTTCTAAAAATGTAATCTATGAGAGGTACATGTTTCATACTAGGGTTCAACATGAGGAAGAGCGTGTTGAGAGCTTGATTCATGATCTTCATGAGATGGCTTCTAGATGCGATTTTCCTGCTTCTTATAAAGATGAGGCTATACGAGATCAACTTGTTGTAGCGATTAGAGACAAAAGTTTATCTGAAAAACTACAAATGAATGCAGATCTAACCCTTAATTCTGCTGTCTCAAATGTTAAGCAAGCCGAATCGGTTAAAATGCAACAATCATTGATGAGGTCCGGGTCTTCTGAACATGCACTAACTGCAGATAAAGTCACTTCAAGGACTTGGGGCACTAAATTTGCTCAGAGACCTCCAGTTGATTCCAAAGCGTCCAGTACCAATTACTATAATCAATGCCAGTGGTGTGGTAACGCTCAACATGAACGACCAAAATGTCCTGCCCGGAATATTTTCTGTCGAAACTGTAACAGGAAGGGCCATTTTGCTAAATGTTGCCAGTTCAAAAATGTCAAGGAAATAAACTCAAACCCTCTTCAAGATGAAGTTATTAAGAGTGACAAATTTGTGGGGTCTGTTAATCCTCAAAAGAATCCTAAAGCAAAATGGTCTGCTGAAGTTAAACTAAATGGAGTATGTATTCAAGCGAAGATAGACACTGGAGCTGACGTTTGTGTCTTGCCCCAATCACTCTATAAGTTAAAATTATTTATGTACCCACTAAATTCAAGTAACAAAGCTTTAATTGGGCCTGACGGATCTGTCCTTAATATCTTAGGCGTATTCGAGGGTACAATACAGTACAAGAATCAATATTGTAAGTCTCAGTTTTATGTAATATCTGGTGCTGATAGAACCCTTTTGAGCAATGAAGTTAGTGAAAAATTGGGTCTAGTTAAAAGGATGTTTCGAGTCAACTCAACTGGCTCATTTGATCCTTTTACATCATACCCTAAACTTTTCAGCGGTCTTGGTGATACAAAAGCTCATTATAATATAAAATTAAAGCCAAACACTGAACCGTACTCTCTCAAAGTTCCAAGGCGTGTTCCCCTACCCTATAAAGATGCTGTAAAAAAAGAACTAGATGCAATGTTGGATAAAGGTGTTATCGTGAGAGTAGACACTCCGACTGACTGGTGTTCACCTCTTGTCATTGTCCCTAAAAAGGACAATTCAATAAGACTTTGCGTAGATTTTACTAAACTTAATGAGAGTGTTAAACGAGAACTATATCCTGTGCCCTCTGTAGACTACACTCTGGGACAATTAGATGGTGCTAAGGTGTTCTCGAAACTAGATGCTAACTCGGGTTATTGGCAAATACCCATAACAGAAGAAGCTTCATATTTGACTACTTTCATCACACCTTTTGGAAGGTTCAGATTTTTACGACTTCCTTTCGGGATTTCCACTGGTTCAGAAGTATTCCAGCGTCAAATGTCTGAATCACTTGAAGGCCTTCAAGGTGTTGTTTGCCATTTCGATGACATAACTATATACGGGAAAGATATGGAAGAACATGACAAAAATTTACATCGTGTTTTGTGTAGGCTCCAGGAAAAGGGCTGGACACTTAATAGATCAAAATGTGTGTTCCGGCATGACAGTATCAGTTTACTAGGCCACCTTGTAACTAAAAATGGTATTAAGCCAGATCCCTCTCGTGTTGAGGCTATCCAAAAACTCAAGACGCCAACTAATGTTAAAGAACTAAGGAGAATTCTAGGTGTTGTCAATTACGTAGCCAAGTTTATTCGTAATTTGTCGACCATAGTTCATCCACTACATGCTTTACTGCAAAGAAATACAGAATTTGTTTGGGGGCCTGATCAAGACCAAGCTTTGGAAAAGATTAAACTGTCATTGATGTCCGAACCGTGTCTCGCTTTATACAGCATTTCTAAAGAAACCTTCCTCTCAGCGAATTCCTCGTCATACGGTATTGGAGTTACACTACTTCAGCTTCAAGAAGATGGAACTAAACGTCCGGTGGCCTATGCTTCTAGAAGTTTGTCATCAGCCGAACGTAATTGGGCTCAAATAGAAAAAGAAGCTCTAGCGATTGCTTGGGGGTGTGAACGGTTTGAACACCTCATTTTAGGGTTGCATTTGCATATTGAGACAGACCATAAGCCCTTGCTCTCCATATTCAAGATAAAAGACTTGGACAATATTACTCCCAGGCTTCAGAGAATACGACTCCGACTAATGAGATATACGTATGACATTACCTACACGCCCGGTAAACAGTTGATTTTGGCTGATGCACTGTCTCGAGACACAGAGAACTCTGAAGAGGAATGGGAACTTACAGAGGAAATCCTTGCTTATATACAAAACATTGACACTACTCTACCATCAGTTTCGGATGAAAGGTTGCGAGAAATAAATCAAGAAACTATGAAGGATGAAACTCTAAAACATGTGTCACAGTATTGTGTGAAAGGTTGGCCAGAAAAATCTAAGATTCCAGAGGATGTATTGCCCTACTGGTATCATAGAGAAGATATAAGTGAGCAAAATGGTATACTTCTCTTTGGAAGTCGTATTATAATACCAAATTCTCTAAGAGCTAATGTACTAAGAAGTATTCATGAAGGACATCAAGGCATAACAAAATGTAGATCTTTTGCAAAATTGACTGTGTGGTGGCCTCGTCTTTCTCAACAAATCAAAGAACTAGTAGAAAATTGCAAGACATGTGCAGAAAATCGCGCTACGAGAGCAGAGCCGCTGATACCAACCCCTTATCCGGATAGACCTTGGCAAATAGTGGGTGCCGATTTGCTGAAGTGCAAAGGTCACTGGTATCTCTTAATCTCAGACTATTATTCCAGGTTTATGGAGATTGCTAGACTAAATGACTTAAAAATGGGCACTATTGTGACATATACAAAGTCCATCTTCGCACGTCATGGTGTACCTGAGACAGTGAGAGCAGACTGTGGTTCTCAATTTGACTGCTGTCAATTCAAACAACTTGGTCGTGATTATGGATTTAAATTGATTACATCAAGCCCAAAATTTCCACAAAGCAACGGCTTCATAGAAGCGCAAGTAAAAAACTTTAAGTACCACTTAGAAAAAAGTGATGATCCCTACAAAATGCTACTTATGTTAAGAGCAACCCCTCTGGAAAATGGGAAAAGTCCAGCGGAATTACTTTTCGGGAGAAGGATCCGCACTTATGTTCCGATAATGTCTGATCAACTAATACCCTATCTGGTAGACACTGAAAAGTTAAGGGAAAAGGAAGAAGCAAGAATTGATCGTCAAAAGATTTATTTTGACAAAAGACATAGAGCCACAGAATTGCCTACTCTACCTGATGGAGCTCAAGTCCATATAAAGGACAGGAATCAAGAAGGAACTATATTAAACAAACATCCTGCACCTCGATCCTATATAATTCAAACGCAAGATGGTTGTTTGCGGAGGAACAGAAGATCACTGCAAAGATTTAGCACTACTATGCCTTCTGATCAACCAGCACTGCAGACCAGTCCCTCAGAAAACCTGAGAAGATCAGAACCATCGCAGACAAATCCTTTAGCGAATCTAAGAAGATCAACAAGACAATTCAAACCTACCCGGAGGTTCGATCTTTAAAGGGGAGATGTGTTGTTATTCATATGTGTTTGAAAACATATGATGTTAGAATATTATTTGTTTAGTTTTTGTTAGTAAACATTCTGAATGGGGTTTATTGTAAAAGCTACCTAATAAAGTATTTGTCTTATTAAAACTATATTTTAATTTAACTTGCGATAACACTACAGTTTATACAAGTATGTTTTATTAAACGGAACCTTATTGTTGAGCATAAAAGAATGTTAAATATGTAGTAGTAATGGATGTTTATAATAAATGTAAAACAAATGATAATTTATCTATCTGATGTTAAAAACAGCTAAAAGAGGGCTTAACTTTACCATTAAATGCTACTAAATATAGCAGGTTTGACTTGAAGGTGATTGATAATTATCTAACTTCTTTGGTAATTATCTAACTACATTAGTAAAATAAAAAGTATGTTGAGTTTGTTTTTATAGGCTATTAGTATTACTCTTATTTGTCTTGTAATGTTAAAATACTTACTATAGGGTTTACTCGTCTAGAAGGTTGGGACGGACCAGCTAATTCAGCAGTCATTGCTCGCCGCATTGTAACATTAGCCCGTGTATTAGACGACGACCTATCTACAGATAGCCAAATTCCATCAGTTGAAGATGCCTGGGCTACAGCTGAAGTTGAAGGTATTGAATGAGGTGTAATAGGAGGCACTACTAATGAGGGTCTAACAACAGAAACTATTGTCGGTGAGAGCTGTTGAAAATAAAATTAGTATTAGTAATAGGCGGGGTGTTATTAAAATAATATTAAATTGTTCAGGTAATGCTACCTACATGTTCTGACGAAAAAATTCGTAGAAAACTTGAAGGCTCTAGCATTATCATATTTGTAATTTCTTCATGTGGAAACCCAGGAATAGGGATTGAAGCTGAAGGGAGGCTTGATAAGTCTCTCTCATAAAACACACCATCTCTCTGAAACAAATAATTTAAAATGTAAATAGGTATAAAACTCCTTAAACTATAAGAATTTCTTTGTCTCTATATAACTCACCATTAGAATTCGTAGAACACAGGTAACATCGTTAATCCTTGAAGTTATATAATAATCCTCAACTAACAGCTCCTGCGAAGCTGTTATATAAAGCTCGCTTACACACCTCTCGGCATATTCTCGGTCTACTTGTCGGAAGTTGGTGGGTATAGCAAGTCTAGCTATAACTTCTTCCTGAAACACAATCTTAGCTAAATAATGATATACAGTATAAACATATATAATATAAATTATATTTTAATATTGTTTTAAAAATATTTGAAATGTATTTTACCGGAAAAATGTGGAGAACTATCCCTGTTGTGTGTACGAACCAAAGGCCAAAGTCATTTGATCTGTTAATCTGAAACATAAAATAGTTATAATATAATCCTAGTAAATATTTGTTGTATTGTTTTTGCTTGTATATTTTTGGACTTTTTAAATACTTCTTTTAAAATATTTCTTACTGAGTCTCCACGGGGTAAAAGCACTCGTTCTGTATTTAGCCGCCTACGTCTAGTGGGTGGTGGTGAAGAACTCTCAGATATCTGTAAAAATAAAGCTTATTAAAAAATAGAATAATAATAACTAACTGTTAGTTTAACTATTATTGAAATCAACTCATCTGTTGGTTGCTAGACTTTTTCAAAATTACAACCTTAAACTAAAATTAAAGTTTTAATATTTTTTATCATAAAATAAAACTCTGTTATATACCTAGGATTATTTAATATCTAAGATATGTATTATATAAGGAAAACTATAACTTACATTATTTATAGCTCTTCTTTGTTCATTTTGTCTACTCTGTAAATGGAAGGAAATAATATTACTACCCTATTTGAACTAGTAATATTATATAACTCTAAAAGAATTTTTTTGTCAAAACATTTTTGTTGGTTAGGAATCTCTGTGTAGTCTAAATATATACACCTGTGTGTTTAATCATGCTTAACATTATATGTTGTAGCTTTCTATTATAATTTGTTTCTGAAATTATAAGGCTCTCTTATAAATAAAAATTAAATCACAAACTATGATCAAGTATATATATATATATATATAGTATAGTTGAGATAAATAGAACTCGTTTGAAATGTAGAACTTTGTGATTGGTTTGTAATAGAAAAAGGCTATTAAAATAAGTAGAATTTAAAATCTTGTTTAACAAACTCTAACTAATTCTAATCTATAAATATACTTACAGCTGATCTTAGAATATCAAGATCATCTTGAAAGAAGGAATCTCTTGAACTCTGACTTGGTGGAACTACAGATCCAGGGCTTGAAGGTGGTGAATCTATGATGCTTGAATTTGGGCTTGATGGTGAACTAGCTGGTGAGTTGTTTTGTATAGGAGTTACTAAATAGTCATAGATATGGTCATTTATGTGTATCCAGTTTGTATTAGCTGTAAAACGCCTTGTTGTTGTTTGCCAAGCCCAAATAGGGTTGTCTTGAGATGTATACATTCTGATAAATTGCCAATTATATCCATCAATGTTTTCATGTATGATAACTATACAATTAGAGGGACCTGCTCCTTGTATTTGTATTTCATGTACTAGTTGTTGCGCCGTTTGCTAAAAAACAAATAATTAAATTATATAGCTGATTAAAATATAAACAATAATCTAGAAACTTTTAAAACAGCTAGAGCAGAGCCTAAGAGTATAAGACTAGTTTGCAACATATTATTTATATAGATTATAAATATGTTTGTTGCTTAAATTATAAATACTAATAACTTTTAAAGAGTTAACTTAATCACCTCACTATAGTCATCAAAACTAAAAACAAATTCTTAAAGCTCTTGTGTAAAATCTGTCTAAATAAAAGGTTTAGTAAAATATATTTGATTTAGAGTAAAGTTTAAGATATGAGAGGTGACAAAAATACTTAATCTTGATATATTGTAAAAATCAAATTATATATATTCAAGTTATATAGCTTACCCAGGTAATTGGATAAAAGTTGCTTAATACATGTGGCGGGGAGCGAGGCGGTAAAAGCGGGTTAGCTTCTAAAATGAGAAGATGGCCAAGATCGTTTTGAAAAAAACTATCTGTCTCCATAGCACAATCCTTCTTGATATAGGTGCTTGCCGAACATTAGGTCTTGCAAGCAGTTGACGTTCTTCATAAAGAGTTATAGATGCACCGTTTCTCTATAAAAAACATATTATGATTAATAAAAAATACTTTTTAAAAGAGACACATTATCTATATAAATAAAATTAGAGTTTTGTCTGTATATCGGATAAAATCATAAACTTTTTATCTTTTGGGTTTTTGATTTCTGATAACCAGGAAAAAGACATTGAAATAGTGTTGTATATAGGTGGGAAATTATATTTTTAAATAAGCATTTTTAGTCAAGATTTGGTATATAATTGATAGATAAAACTGATAATAAAAATAAAAGTAGGCCTATTATGTTTTATTTGTCACCACTGGTGATTTAATTTTGTTAAAATGCATCTTATGTGATAGGATATATTAGGGTTAACTAGTAGATACAGATAATTAATCTTTTTTTTATATATATATATAAAAAGATTTCTAACTAAATACTATAAAAGCCTTATATTACACAGCTAGTGATTATATATTTTTAAGTAAAACCATAGATAAAACATACTCTCTTAGTAGATTTCTCATCTTTATAGAACAGCTGAAGACAATTGTATTGTTAGTTTATGTATGGTTTATATAGAGGTTGTTTTTTGTTTATAACAGTTATTACAACCATTTGTTTAACCAAATAATATGATCTAACTATAAACAATAACTTGTCCTCTAGTTATATAACCAAGCAGTAAAGCACAAATAAAGAAATTACCCCTAAAATAACGGAAACAAAGTTTTATAGATACTAGTGCCTTTGTGTTATTTATATAAACTAAACACAAAAAATATGCTGATAATGGGAAAAGAAGTTTATTTGTGTTGGTTAGTCTATGGTAAAACCTACCATTAATCGAAGTAAAGTCCAGACAAGATTAGGATATTCTTGTGATGACTCTATGATATGGACTCCAGTCTGTTCGGGAGGGTTGCTAATCGACCACATATCTTGAATCCTATTTTGAGCATATTCCTAAAAAACCATACATATATAGATTAAAAATAAAGAATTAGACAAACTACTACTACTACTATTAGAGGTACTTAAACTACATAGAGACCTACATAACTCAGAAATTGTCCAGAAGCCCATAGGTATAGGTGGTATTAGGTCTAGATTATTATAGTCTAATGTGACAAAGGAAAGGACATCCCCATGCACATTAATGAAGTAATGTTCCAAGTCAGCATTGTAGGGATATTGATCCAAAAAGGTCTCCAAACCACCGCCCCACTGTAATAACAAATATATATTTATACAAAAGTTATGAATTAACTATCAAATTAAACTATAATTTAGCTCACAGCCCTAATTAACATATAGGCAAAATTTTATGAATATTTAAAGTAAGCTATTGGTAAAAGTTGGTTCTATGATATACATTAAAATTACCGATAGGGTGCAGTTTATTATATTTGTTTTTATATTTATAAAATCAGCTTAAGCGACAACAAAAATTGTTTACAGTTAGGTTTTTTAGGTTAAATAGTAAAACATAATAGTATATGTGTATACAACAAATATAGATAAAGATGAATAATAGTTTACTTACAGTTTCCAAAATTAATTGTTCTCTTTCGCCTCTTGTATCTCCTTCTATTGTTGCCCTATCCTATAAAAACATATTCATTTGATAAAAAAAAACACTAACAAAAAGCTTTTCCTAATTAAAAATAAATAATTGTTTTATAATAAATATATTTATTTAAAAAACACAAAGCTGATTTTAATTATTCATCTAAAGTTGTATAATTATATAGTACTACTTACTTGACCATTTGGGGGCAGATTTTCATCAACTGCTGCAGAGCTGACTAGTAGTCTCAATTCAAGTAGTATGAAGAAAAGGAACATCATATTACCTATGATGAAAACTAACATAACAATAATCAGCATAGCCAATGTACCTTATATATATATATGCTTGGAGGGAGGGAACGATCGAGTTAACCACATTTTCCACCTCCTCCCTAAGACAGTATTATCTGTCACTATTTCCCCTCCTCTTCAAAGCAATATTATCTGTCACTATCATCATTCTCTAACAAGATGCTCAACACTAAAGACTGTTGGAGCTGTCGCCGCAGCGTCTTTTGCTGCTCATTTGAGTACCTCTGGGATAGTTGGCTTCCCTTTTGTTGCCAGTACGTATCTTTAAACTTAGTTTTTAAAATTTATTTCTTAAAGGTTTTTAACTTTATGCTGATTTAATATTCTTTTATATAATTTATAGATGTCAAGAGCTAGCTTCAGAGGAGGAGGTCCTGACTGTCCATTATGGACAGTTCAGAGAATATATAGACACCTGCAACCACGAGCTAGAAGAAGAAGAAGAAGGCTCAGAAGAAGACGAAGGGATAGAAGCATATATAGTAGAAAATTGGTAAATTTATAAAATATAATTTCACTTAGGTGACACAGGTTTAAGTTTATAGCAGGATCATAATTTTATATAACCATATAAAAACAGATATCACAAATATTTTTAGGTACCTGCTTTTTTATTTTAGGGTCCACTAAATCCCCACACATATATTTTACATAAAAAACATACATTTAACTAGTTAACCCATCCCTGACTAAGTTATTTGCCCAGTTAAAACTAAGCAAATTTTAACTTATATTTTCACTAAAAATATTTATCCCTAATTTAAATAACATTAAATTTAACAAATGCTTAGGGTTGCTACAGCAGAGAGTAATAAAAGTGTTTTTAACTTTAATTGTATAGAATGATATAAGCAAACTATAACAGTTTACAATTTTCTCCATAAAAATAAAATAGAAGTAACTATTTGGCACACAATAATGTTTTAATCTACTAAATTATTTTTTAGGTTAAAACCCTGTTTTACTTTATAAAACTCTTGGTTCAGCTATGTTGGTAGCCTCTAGGGTTATCAAAATAAAATTGGTTCTAGGTCCTATTATAATATATTAGCTTATTTCCTATATAGAAATTTTGCTAAAACCAAAATTTTTATACAACTTTTACTAATTTAAATGATAAAAACTTATTAACAATTAAACTAAGTATTTTAAAACACAATTGTTATACAAATTGTCAAACAGCTACAATAGTTTTAACAATAGCTTTTCTTAAAGATGTTTTTTTTACATAATAATAAATATAGACTATAATAGGGATCAAGATATATATCATTTTACTTTATTTGTATATATTATTTTGAAACTATAATTATAATATCCTACTAAAAAATCAATTTCTTATCTATATTATATTACTCTTAAACAACTAAATGGATTAAGCTAAAGTTTAACACAATAATAATATATAGCCTCAAATATATACATATTTTATGAGTATTTAAAGTTAGCTGTTAAATTTATACATTAAAAAATTATAAAATTCTCTAATAAGGTATAAGGTATTTATCTTTGTATTTATAAAAACAGCTTCAGCAAAGACAAAAATATATAATATAAACAATAAGTAGGATTGTTAACAATTAGATTTTCAAAATTGTGATATCTTTTTAGGTTAAATAGTAATATTCCAACTAAATTACAAATTAACTTATGTCCTTCATTAATGCATAACTTGAGTATAACTGCAATACACCTTATATGCTAACCCAAAATAGGTATTCTGTTAGTAAAATAAATCACCGAGATTTGCTTATAAATATTTTATACAATAGTATTATATTTTTAATTCCCCAATAAATTCTCTATAATTTATATATCTCAAGATTTTTTTTTTGTGAAGATTACACAAAATCATATTCGACATTGGTTTTACCACAGATAATAGACCGGATAAAACATGATAATAATTGACCGTTTTTATAATTCTTATCTGACCCTAGGCCACTAAAGATATCAAAGTCCGTTACAAGAAACCATACATCCTGTTGCACTATCCTCATCGTTATCGAGTACACTTATCACAGCGGATGTGTGTTTTTATTTAGATAACCCTTTCCGCCTGACAAGTAATTTATATCTAGTATAGTTTTTCCTTATAAAAATTATATATACACATCTTTTAGCTTTATATTGGATAGGGTTTGAGACTATCCCCTCATTAAGTGAGGCCAAGTTAAACGTTATACAACCTATCCAGTTTATAATATTATATACCAGTTTATAATATTATATAATATTATATTGGTTGATATCGTATAACATCCTCTCCTTTATTTATAAAGTTTTTTTTTTTGTCAAGTCTATAAATTTAGTTATATAACCCTACCAAAGTTAACATTCAAAGTTTGCGGGCGGTTTAGTTGGCCTCGCCAGTGACTTTCACTCATGGTTTGCGGGCGGTTTAGTTGGCCTCGCCAGTGACCAATAACATTTACACAGGTACAAGGAGTGGCTCAAATCCTTTGAAATTTGTGCACCTCAGTGTACACACATTCACACAAGTATAAGGCGTAGCACAGATTCTTCTAAATCTGAACTACTCAATATACACACACTCATACTTTGGTTAGGTTACATAAGTATATATCTATAGACTTGTTTTTTTTACTAGGAGAGCTATGTACAGTTTTAAATTTACAAAATTATTTACAAAGTTTACATTTACAATATAATTTATGTGGCCCTTTGGACTTTTCTATATCCAAAAGGTAAAGTATCATATTGACCTTCGTACCTCCTTTTAGGACCAGTTATTTTAAACACTTTGCTCTCAGTGATGGTGACGATGTCTCTGTCTCTAGTCCTTCTGATTCTACTTTCTTCAATTTCAACAGTCTGTTTTGCTTCACTCAGAACCATTTCTTTTAATTTTTCAAAATTTACAATTTTTGATGTTTTAAAGTTAAGGGTGAGGCCCTTGAGTTTACATATAGGGATCAACTTTTGTTGATTGGTTGACCAGACAAGGTACGCGTAAGTTTTAGGCCCCCCAGAGACAAACTCAGTGATATAAGAGCCGGGTCCATACTCTACTAATTCGTCAGTCATTTCACCAAGATAATCTCCTGTAGACACCCTATAAAGACCGTTTCCATATATGTAGACAACACTGTCAGTATCATAATATAATACTTGAGCTCCTAGGGCCTCAAGGTGTTCATAGAGCTTGAGTCTCGCCTGCGAGGTAGTGTAGGCCGCGATACAAACGTTTATGTTACTAAGAGGTTCCCCCACTTCCTCTAAATACCCCCATGACACGACTACAACCTCATCATTAACAATCTGAATTCTGTTTACTTTAATTTCGGGGCTAGAAAGCATTTGAAATAGGGTTTTAGGATCCCTAACAATAGTAGCTTTAGTTTGATTTTCCCTCTGACCAAATTTTCCCCAAAAACTATTTAACATTAATTTTGCTAAAGATCTCAAACCTCCATTCTTAACAATCTTTTCTTTCTCCAAATTAATTCCCTCGTGTCTCAAATACTCTGCAATATATTTGTTTTTGTCCTCCTCAGTCTTACACCATTCTGGATAACCCGAAGCTTCCTGTTTCATCTTGAGAAATTTATTGATAAAATCGGTGAACAAACCCCCATTTTCATAAGTCGCTACCTGATACTCCCACAACTCATACATATCCAATACAATATACCCTTTCTCTACTGCCTTTCTGATTTCATCCATTGTCCATGTCCCAACTAATGCCCTATTATCACTGTCATGATTACACTCTCCCTGATACATCATTTCCCCACACATTCTACACAACACAAACATCAATTTATCATTCATTTTTGTAGGGAGTACAGGGTGGTAGAGATCACGAGGCGGCAATACTTTACATTTTAACAAACCCTCTACACCCATACCTCTTTCACGACACTCTCTGTCTCCTACATAGATGGTTGGATGGCCTACAGGGTACTTCCCATACTTACAAACATAAGGGTACAGAGAACAAACATCAACATACTGTATAGTTTCCCCCTCAGCGCATTTGTGGTAAGATTTTGCGTTACCCGTCCTACCTCCAAAAAATGCCTGCCTCGGATCAAGTGGGAGATTATTCAAGATAGGCAAACTATCCAGATATTTAAGCTGCAAATTTTTTTTTTGTTTACGAAATTCGCATTCCCACATCTCTACTAGTGCGTGTTCTGTGAACTTTGCGTTTTTAGCCTTAGTTCGCTCATAGCGAAGATGTAGGCTATCAGAAGGGTCCTCTTTCAAAGGAGCGTGACGGTTGTAAGGAAAGCATTTAGGACACCCATGGAAATAACAACCATTAAATTCGTAGATGTTTCTGCCATCGAACCCATCTACTTTTATTCCATTGACTTTGACTTCTTTACCTCGTCCGGCATGATCGATCCTAATCCCGTTGGTTTCCTCGACCCAAGAAAGCCACTGGAGCGCTATATTTGATTGATTGTCTACTAATCGATAGCCGTTTTTAGGGATAAGTCCGATAGTATTGGGTTTCAAAAAACTACGGCGGAAAGCTAGATTACAAGCACTCGCAATGGTAACAGCCTCAAGAAACTGGTCAACATTACACTCTTTTAGAAAAATTGAACGAAACTTTAGACAGGCTTGGGCTAAGATATCAACATCTGAAATACAATAGGCTAGGATCTCATTTTTGAAGTTGAACTCATAGTTGTTTATTACCTGATCGCTGTACCATTTTTCAAAGTCATTGTGAGATTTCTCAAACATAGATTCGGGACAATAGTACTTTTTGTCTGGCATAGGGCCTACATAGTCTTGGTTTGCCAGAGTGTTGAACAGGTGGGGAAAGTAGCCTTTCTTTTTCTCTGGAGGTAGATCAAAGGCTTTAGGTAGAGCAGATAGAGCCATAGGGAAGTAGCTAAGTGAGTCAACAAACCTCACATTATCAATCTCCATTAGAATAATCTTAGTTCCCCGCATTACAAGTTCTGGCGTGAATTTTGTTTCTTCCAACAAGTACTTTAACAAAAATTGAAAGTCAAACCCCTGCCCGTTGTGTGCAATTACACAGACTTTTTTAAACTGTTTCCTTACTGACATGACATAGTTCATAAACTGATTAATAGGGTCAGAGTCAAACACTCGTGTACGGTTTTTACATGCTATACAATATTTTGCCTCAATACATTGGTAACAAAATTGCTGGGACACACACAAGTTTACTTTATGCACTTTACTTTCAAGGTCAGAGGGCAGAGGCTCATCCTGACGGGTTTCCAAATCAAAGAAAATAAAAGCATAATCTTTAGATTTAGGTTTACCCTCATTAGGTCTCATATAACATTTATGATTAGGGTCTTTATATTCTCCACAAGGTTTGCAAAATACTTCCCCACACTTGTGCAGGGTTGACCGGTCTCTAAGCCAAACTAGTTTCCCACAATCAAGACATTTCTTTACATGT